AGAAAGCCTTGAATAGTTAGCCTTGAATAGTTAGCCTTGAATAGTTAGCCTTGAATAGAAAGCCTTGAATAGTTAGCCTTGAATAGTTAGCCTTGAATAGTTAGCCTTGAATAGTTAGCCTTGAATAGTTAGCCTTGAATAGAAAGCCTTGAATAGTTAGCCTTGAATAGAAAGCCTTGAATAGTTAGCCTTGAACAGAAAGCCTTGAACAGAAAGCCTTGAATAGTTAGCCTTGAATAGTTAGCCTTGAATAGTTAGCCTTGAATATAAAGCCTTGAATAGTTAGCCTTGAATAGTTAGCCTTGAATAGTTAGCCTTGAATAGTTAGCCTTGAATAGTTAGCCTTGAATAGTTAGCCTTGAATAGTTAGTCTTGAATAGTTAGCCTTGCACAATTAGCCTCATTAAGGTGGAAGGTCATAGAATAGTATTTGTATTTGTATTTGTATTTATATGGATCCCCATTAGCCAAGGCAGCAGCAACTCTTCCAGGGGTCCAGCAAAATTAAGGCAGTTATACCATTTTATAAACATTACAATACATTCACAACAGATTTCACAACACATTAAGTGTGTGTCCTCAGGCCACTACTCTACTACCACATATCTACAACACAAATCCATGTGTACGTGTGTGTATAGTGCGTATGTTATCGTGTGTGTGTATGCACGTGTCTGTGCCTGTGTTTGTGTTGCTTTACAGTCCCCGCTGTTCCATAAGGTGTATTTTAATCTTTTTTTTTTTTTTTTATCCAATTTTACTGATTGCATGAGTTACTTGATGTGGAATAGAGTTCCATGTAGTCATGGCTCTATTTAGTACTGTATAGACGGTGAATGTATAGACATTCACGGTGTAAGTGGACCCTCCCTGTGATGACTAGCTTCCTTGCTCAGCTGCATCTTACAGGAGGGGGGAGATGGATGGTAGAGGGAGTAGTTTGGGGAAATAGAAATGTGTCAGAATGTGATGAGAATGAGAGGTCCAGAGAGGAAAGGGTTAGCAGTCCTAGAAATGCAGGACAGAGGAGGAATGGGGGAGAGGAACGTCCACTGTGCTTCCTCCCAAGGTCATTACTAAGAGGAGATGGAGAGAGGGAGGTGGAGACAGGGAGACAGGCAGGGAGAGAGAGAGAGATGGAGGTGGAGACAGTGAGACAGGCAGGGAGAGAGAGGGGTTGAATTTCCTGTTTTTATGGGTTGAATTTCCTCCAAAGTGGAAAGAAATGAGATCACGCACTAAACTCCAATACAAACATGCAAAGTGATTTGAGACAGAAAGCAACATAGCTAATGGGTTCTCTTGTCATTTTAAGGGCTAATTCAATTACATTGTTTTGGTTTATTTCTGCCCCCATATAAAATAACAAATAAAAATACAAACTTTTGCAAGTGAATCCTGGATTACATAATATAGTAGAATATCCATGTAAACATTCTCTCACTGTAACACATTTTCACAGGGAGACAAAACATCAAATAAGGCTGCATGACTTTAGGTTCGAATAAAACTAAAGCACCAGAGCATAACAATGCCTTTCAGCTACACGTCCATGTTATTGTCTGGACATGCAGTGGGCTACACAGGCTGCGTTTACACAGGCAGCCCAATTCTGATCTTATGCGCAGTTATGAGCAAAAGATCTGATCGGATTGGTCAAAAGAGCAATTCTTAGCAAAAGATCAGAATTGGTCTGCCTGTGTAAACGCAGCCTTAGTCATGTGTCAGCGTGTTGTTAATCCAGTCCCCTTTGACTCACTATGTTTGGCATTTCATCACGGTACGAAATGATGTCACAACATTTAAATTGAAGTGCTTTTATCAGTTGAAATATCAAAACGACTCCTTCATCCCTTTTATATTCCTCTGCTGGTAGACTGATGTCCTGTCTGGCCTAGATAAAGGCCAGCCATTTCATCTATCAGATATCTAATAGATGTTTTATTGTGTGGCATATTCCAAACCCTCAATTAGCATCAGTGAGCTTTCACAGTCATCAACCCAATACATTCATGAACCCAAGGTTAAATTCTCATCTTTATTGTGTGGCATATTACAAACCCTCAATTAAGGTTGGGTGGATAACTGTGAATGCTTTTAAACCAACATGATCTATCCATTCACAAGCCACGCAATAATACTGTATGGTGAAAGGCTGAAAAATGTTCTGGCAGTTTGAACTCAGCGACACCAATGTCACAAACGAAGTAGACTTCGGTGTATTACAGGGGCTGTGTATACTGTACATCATAGAGCCCATGAAAAATGTCCATTTAGATTTGAGGAGAACTGTAGAAGACAGCTAGACCTAATGGGCTGCTGGTTCTGCCCAAATAACAGTCCAAACTGCTCTAATGCCAATACGTTCTCTCCATCTGGCATTTGTAAGGTGTAATTTGCGTTAGCACACTGCTACCAGCGGAATCACTCTCATCCCCCTGTCAAGTCATGTTTTGTTAATCGCACAACTACGTGACACAACTTGCGCAACGAGAGACACTATCGAGCACCTCCACCGAACAAGTGAAGCACTCTTGAATAACCATTACGTGTTCCAGGGAATGAGCTGCCTCAGTTCTCATCTGTGTGAGTTCAAGCTGTTTATACGCTGATTCAGCACCACCACTTATCAGCAGGTGACGACATGCCGGCTCTCTGGCAGGAGACGGTTTCTGGCTGTTCTACTTGATACTTCCATTCATACTCCAACACACCTGGACAGCTTCGTACAACTCTCTACAGTACACTCATTGTTGTGCTCCTGTCGCTGTGGGAAACCCACTCAAAGTAGTGCTGTGGTACTGATCTAATGCGTAGTACTACCGGCATATTCTCCTTTCATTATACTGAAATAGAACGTTTCTCAGAAATGCCTGAGAAACAGATGTCTGTAGAGCAAAGCGAAATACTTCCTAGAGTAGTTATCTTTTGGAGAATGCATCAGAGACCACAGAAATGTTCGATATGAATGGTTAGCCTACTACTTTATAATACCCCATAAACCATGACATCTTACTGTACTGCCCAGTGGTTAAATATGATGTCAACTGCAGCCACTCTTAGAAGCCAAATGCAGCATGTACCATAGAACTAGAATCCATAGAACAAGCCTCCCTATTCAAGTCATTGATGGCATAATGGGTGGATTCTATGTCTATGGTATGTGCCACATAGCTTTGGTTACTGCGGTTACCGTGGTCCTACTCTTCCCTTTGATTGTTCTTTTATGTCCAGAAATCTGTCCCTGGAGAAATGTACAGTCTAGTGAACATGTTTAGTATCTGTCCCTGGAGAAATGTAGTCTAGTGAACATGTTTAGTATCTGTCCCTACATGACTTGCATACAAGTGAGCCTCCCTGTAACATATATTTCATCAGAGGTTTTTGGACTCTTTCACCATTCATTTTGGAGAAAAAAACAAACAAACAGTATTTTTGATTGACTTTTGAGTTTGCAGATTATTTTTGCACTGTGCGGACAGCCTTTCTTCCTCTCTGTCTCTGTGGGCTTTAGCCAGGAGTCAATGAAATGGTTTGAGGACAGCGACATTTGCCCTGTCCTTTAGGGACATTTAGCCACATTAGCTCATATTGATGGATGGCACAGAGTTTTGCTTGAATGTCAAGTAAAGCCCTCTCAATAAAGAGAATGCCCAGAGAGCTATTATTCTGACTTAGCATGGCTTCTTCACAGAGCCCATCCCACAGACATGGATGAGCCTCCAAATTGTATGATCGATGCGGGAAGCAGAGTTTGAAGGCTTTTACAAGTTAAAGCGCCCCTGAGTCAAAAGCAAATAGGGTTTTTAACAGTCTCTCTCTCAATTTATCGCTTCTCTGCAGCCACCTCGGTTGTATATCACTCCAAGGTCGACAGCTCGCCAGCCAGCCATATGGAAGTGTTGTGTTTAGTCGCAGGCAGCACACTTGTTTATTCACGCCATTTTAAAGCATTGAATTAAAGCACATTTCGCAAGATACTTCTCATCCCATCTACTTGTCACGGGGGAGATTGGCAAGTGACTCGAGGTGCTGCTAACACCTAGAACAGTAACTGGCAGACCCTGGAGCCTACAGGGCAGCCCATTCTCCTTTGGCCAGCAGATTAAGAGTTCATAAAGCTAGGATGAAGAGTTTATCTGTCCCTCACAGTTTATCTGTCCCTCACAGACTTACAGTCCTAAGTTAATAGAGCAGCAGTTGGTGTTTAGGATCCTGACACACAGATAAGAGAAGAGTAACAGAGAAGAGTAACCTGCAATCGGAATAGATGGAGTAGAACGCCCTCCAGGCAATTGCACTTGTACAGTACGGTTCATGATGTTCCATACAACCCTGGCATAATTCTCTTTCACATTGGAATTTGGTATCTCTCCACGATTTGTAAATTAAGCTGACATTTGTTTTATTGCTGTAAATACTTTGTCTGCTTCATTTAGCTGATTGGGGTTTATGAGAGAGACTAATCAGAAGTGAAAAGGACTAATTTGAGCTTTGCCGTCACATATCCATTGCTTTAAAAACCCAATTAAAGCTGTAATTCAGCTGTGTCCTCTGTGAGTGGTGTAGTTACTAACGCGACAAAAATTGTTTTAAGAAGATTTTTGTTGTGAAATGTTTTGACAAATCATACCAAATGTACACCACTTAAAGGGGAACTGCAGTCAAAAATTTTAATCTGAGGTTTTCTGTTCACCTACTGGTATTTCATCTGATATTTCTACTATTTGTCTAACCCAGAGCTTTTAGTCCAAATCTGAGGCGAATGTAACCCTGTGACATGATCTTTTGGGCCAGAGTTATTGTCTTTGCCTGTTGTGTGGCTAAAGTATTGTTTGTTAAATGAACACAATTGTGTTTTTTTTTAATCAATAATACTTCAGGTGATAAGCGACAAACCTGACAACATAATATAATTTTTATTTTATTTTATACATGTAGTTCTCCTTTAAATGTACCAACCACTCCTCTTACTTGTGTCTCCGCAGGTAAGCAGTAGAATGGTGTCCGGGGAGGCAGGTGGGCACAGCTACCTGGTGGCGTGCTGGCAGCCCATCCTGGTCCTAATGCTGGGCACCGTCCTCTCCGGCTCCACCACCGGCTGCCCGTCCCGCTGTGAGTGTAATGCTCAGGAACGTTCCGTGGTGTGCCACCGACGAAGGCTGGCCGCGTTTCCCGAGGGCATCCCCATCGAGACGAAACTACTGGACCTCAGCAAGAACCGTCTGAAAAGCCTGGGGCCTGAGGAGTTCATCAACTACCCGCAGCTGGAGGAGCTGCAGCTCAATGAAAACAATATCTCCTCCATGGAGCCCGGGGCTTTTAGCAACCTTGTCAGCCTGCGGACTCTGGGGCTACGCAACAACCAGCTTAAGCTAATCCAGTTGGGAGTGTTCACAGGCCTCAGCAACCTCACCCAGCTGGACATCAGCGAGAACAGAATCGTCATCCTGCTGGACTACATGTTCCAGGAGCTGTACAATCTGAAGGCTCTGGAAGTCGGCGATAACGACCTGGTGTTCATCTCTCACCGAGCATTCCACGGCCTCAGCAGCCTGGAGCAGCTGACCATGGAGCGCTGCAACCTGACCTCGGTGCCCACCGAGGCCCTGAGCCATCTGCACAACCTGCTGTCGCTGCGACTCCGCCACCTCACCGTCAATGCTGTCAGGGATTACTCCTTCAAGAGGCTCTACCGCCTGAGGGTGTTAGAGATCTCCCACTGGCCCTACCTGGACACCATGACCTCCAAATGCCTGTACGGACTCAACATCACCTCCCTGACCATCACAAACTGTAACCTCACCGCCATCCCTTACCAGGCCATCCGACACCTTGGGCACCTTCTCTTTCTCAACTTGTCTTTTAATCCCATTCACACGGTGGAGGGGAACAAACTGCACAATCTGCTGAGGCTCCAGGCCTTCCACTTGGTAGGAGGGAGATTAGTCACAATCGAGCCCTACTCCTTCCGGGGCCTTAACCACCTCCGAGTCCTCAACGTATCCAGCAATAACCTGAGCACCCTGGAGGAATCCGTCTTTCACTCCGTGGGGAACCTGGAGACCCTGGCTCTGTACGATAACCCACTGGCCTGCGACTGCCGACTGCTCTGGGTCTTCCGCCGCCGCTGGAGGCTCAACTTCAACCGGCAGCAGCCTGCCTGCTCTTTGCCAGAGGCCGTGCGGGGCAAGGAGTTCAAAGACTTCCCCGACATCCTCCCCTCCGATTACTTCACCTGCCAGAAGTCCAGGATCCAAGACCACAAGGCACTGCAGAGGCACGTGGACGAGGGCACAACGGTCCATTACACATGCCAGGCGGACGGCGACCCAGCCCCCGTGATCATGTGGCTGTCCCCCAAGAAGCAGTTAATCACCACCAAGTCCGTGGGGCGTCTCAGCGTGTCCCCCGAGGGCACGTTAGAGGTGCGCTATGCCCAGATCCAGGACAACGGTACCTACCTGTGCATCGCCAGCAATGCGGCAGGGAATGACACCAGGCCTGCCCACCTGCATGTGCACAGCTACTCTCCCAACTGGCCGCATCAGCCCAACAAGACGTTGGCCTTCATCTCCAACCAGCCCAGCGAGGATGGGGCCAATGGGACCCTGGCCCAGGTTCCCTTCCCGTTTGACGTGAAGACTCTGATCATCGCCACCACCATGGGATTTATCTCGTTCCTCGGCGTCGTCCTATTCTGTCTTGTCATCCTCTTCCTCTGGAGCAGAGGGAAAGGCAACGTCAAGCCAAACATAGAGATTGAGTATGTACCCCGTAAGGCAGAGGCAGGTGAGAGTAGTCCAACCGGCGAGGCGTCACGTAAATTCAACATGAAAATGATGTGAGACTCAAGCTTACTGACTTCAAAATGAGGGTGGACACACACTATATTCTCTTTAAATATATGTGGAATTTATGAGATATAGACATCTTGATACTATACCCAAGACTGTTTTACCTTCAGGGACTGAATCTTAAACAGCGAGTGTTGGATTTAAAAGTATTCAAATTTATGTGCGTTTTTATGGGCAATAGTCATTAAGAAAATAAGCCAGAACAAACCAGTCATGTTTTCTGCTCGTTTCAACCTGAAATGGGAGATTGTCTTTATCTAGTCTTTTGATGTTTTTTTTTTTCTTTCTGTATCTTGTTCTTCTTACCATGTACAATGAGCAAAGAAATGATCACAATACCACTTAAAGGGGCAGTTCCCAAAAACACTGAAATTGACCGCAGCAACGGTAAGAGAAAAATAATGTCAATTTGTGTGAACTATACCTTTAATGGTTATGGGTTTTGAGCATATTACTGTGTTACGAGCAGGTACCATTCAAGCAATGAATGCATTCAGAAAGTATTTAGACCCCTTGACTTTTTCCACATTTTGTTACGTTACAGCCTTTTTCTAAAATTGATTCCCCCCCCCCCCCCCCCCCATCAATCTACACACAATACTCCATAATTACAAAGCAAAAACAGGTTTTTAGAAATTTTTGCAAATGTATTACAAATAAAGAATTAAATATCACATTTACATAAGTATTCAGACCGTTTACTCAGTACTCTGTTGAAGCACCTTTGGCAGCGATTACAGCCTTGAGTCTTCTTGGGTATGACGCTACAAGCTTGGCACACCTGTATTTGGGGAGTTTCTCCCATTCTTCTCTGCAGATCCTCTCAAGCTCTGTCAGGTTAAATGGAGAGCGTCGCTGCGCAGCTATTTTCAGGTCTCTCCAGAGATGTTCGATTTGGTTCAAGTCCGGGCTCTGGCTGGGCCACTCAAGGACATTCAGAGACTTGTCCCGAAGCCACTCCTGCGTTGTCTTGGCTGGGTGCTTAGGGTCGTTGTCCTGTTGGAAGGTGAACCTTCACACCAGTCTGAGGTCCTGAGCGCTCTGGAGCAGGTTTTCATCAAGGATCTCTCTGTACTTTGCTCCGTTCATCTTTCCGTCAATCCTGACTAGTCTCTCAGTCCCTGACGCTGAAAAACATCCCCACAGCATGATGCTGCCACCACCATGCTTCACCGTAGGGTGGTGGCAGGTTTCCTCCAGACATGACACTTGGCATTCAGGCCAAAGAGTTCAATCTTGGTTTCATCATTTACATTTACATCATTTAGCAGACGCTCTTGTCCAGAGCGACTTACAAATTCATCAGACCAGAGAATCTTGTTTCTCATGGTTTGAGAGTCCTTTAGGTGCCTTTTGGCAAACTCCAAGCGGGCTGTCATGTGCCTTTTACTGAGGAGTGGCTTCCTTCTGGCCACTCTACCATAAAGGCCCGATTGGTGGAGTGCTGCAGAGATGGTTGTCCTTCTGGAAGTTTCTCCCATCTCCACAGAGGAACTCTGGAGCTCTGTCAGAGTGACCATCAGGTTCTTGGTCACCTCCCTGACCAAGGCCCTTCTCCCCTGATTGCTCAGTTTGGCTGGGCAGCCACCTTTAAGAATGATGGAGGCCACTGTGTTCTTGGGGACCTTCAATGCTGCAGAAATGTTTTGGTACCCTTCCCCAGATCTGTGCCTCGATACAGTCCTGTCTCAGAGCTCTACGGCCAATTCCTTTGACTTCATGGCTTGGTTTTTGCTCTGACATGCACTGTCAACTATGGGACCTTATATAGGCAGGTGTGTGCCTTTCCAAATCATGTCCAATCAGTTGAATTTACCACAGGTGGATTCCAATCAAGTTGTAGAAACATCTCAAGGATGATCAATGGAAACAGGATGCACCTGAGCTCAATTTCTAGTCTCATAGCAAAGGGTCTGAAATAAGGTATATCTGTTTTTTATTTTTAATAATTTTGCAAAAATGTCCAAAAACCTGTTTTCGCTTTGTCATTATGGGGTATTGTGTGTAGATTGATGAGGAAAAAAATGTATTTAATCAATTTTAGAATAAGGCTGTCACGTAACAAAATGTGGAAAAAGTCAAGGGGTCTGAATATTTTCCGAATGGTCTGTATACTAAGAGATAAAAGTAAGCTAGAAAGGTATAGAATGGTCTATTATGATTGACAATCATCAAAATCACAAAGGTCATTGGTATAAATCACGGAATAAGTACAATGTAAAATATCAGCAATTAAGTTAGAGTCCTCTGATGCCATTTTGTCTGCTTAATGTGCAGTGGCACAAATCAAAATCCTTTCCCAGCAAGCCAGGAACATTCTCTGAACATGAGCTAAGATTCCCATTACGTTCTAGTTAGGGTTTTATATAACAATAGGATGAAAACATCCCAAAAACATAACAAAATGTTTTCTTTGTGTGATTTTTTAAATGAAATATCCTTGGAATGTTCTCCTAACATTCACTAAAATGTTGTGCACAACATCTGTAAAAACCACCACAGGACATTCCCCAAACATTCTCATTAGGTTTCCAGGTAATGTAATAACATAACAATGTTAACAATGTTTGTAGAACATACTGCCGCAACAGAATATGAGAGCAACCTTCTGGGAACACTTGCTGCAACCTGACAAACGGTTCTGAGAACTTTCACAGAATACATTTTTGGTTTGCTGGGTTGTTTGTATAATCACAAACATGCTTCAGATGATAATTGTGATATTCATAATTTGATGCCTTATGTTTTTTTTCTCTCTCAGTGTGTTGTCCTGTTTGCAGTGATCAGGAACCAGTTGTTGTAATACAGTTTATGTGTTAACAGGGTTTTTATGTGGTCAAATACATTCTACAGCCATACTCTGCTCTGAAGGTAATGCGTTCATAAAACCCTTAAACCATTGGTTTTTAAATAATGGACGGATGGAAAGTATATTAAAACAATAAAGTTTTATACAGTAAGTGTGTTAATTTTTTTATGCTATTCCACTCAAGCACATTGAAAGGGCATCAAATGAGTCTATGTCCCCGAATGTGAATACAGTATTAAGCTACACACTGTTGACATGCCTAGAATTTCAGGTGTCCGAGTTGGTTTTCCCCCTTTTGTATGCGGTAGCCTAGCCAGACGGGGATGCTATAACGAGTTTATTCTTTCATGCTGTGAGTATAGCTGTGAATAATTTACGGGGGGATGACGTTGCTATGAGAACACCAAAGAAGGGAATATGAAACTGTGTCATCCTGACATTCTAGGAGTTGAACACCAAAGGATATTATTGGAGTAGATCCTGCTACAGGATCAGAGGCCAGGGAGGAGCTATGAAATATAGATATCATTTCAACCTAAAGTGGAGTTTTAAATTGAGTATATAGGGATTGCTTTAATTCATTACACTATTAACTAACCTGGCTCCTATATCTCCTATAGCTACTATATCTCCTATGTCTTCTATATCTCCTATAGCTACTATAGCTACTATATCTCCTATTGCTACTATATCTCCTATATCTCATATATCTCCTATATCTCCTATAGCTACTATATCTCCTATATCTCATATAGCTACTATATCTTCTATATCTCCTAATACTACTATATCTCCTATATCTCCTATAGCTACTATATCTCCTATATCTCCTATAGCTCCTATATCTCATATAGCTCCTATAGCTCCTATATCTCCTATAGCTCCTATATCTCCCATATCTCCTATATCTCCTATATCTCCCATATCTCCTATATCTCCTATATCTCCTATATCTCCCATATCTCTTATATCTCCCATATCTCCTATATCTCATATATCTCCTATAGCTACTATATATCCTATAGCTCATATAGCTCCTATATCTCATATAGCTCCTATAGCTCCTATATCTCATATAGCTACTATATCTCCTATAGCTCCTATAGCTCATATAGCTCATATATCTCCTATAGCTCCTGTAGCTCCTATATCTCATATAGCTCATATGTCTCCTATATCTCATATAGCTCCTATAGCTTCTATATCTCATATAGCTCCTATAGCTCCCTCCTATTTGTGCCAAGAGACTCTTGTTGGATTTCTTTTACCTTATTTTCAAATGAATTATAGTATTTTTTATGAGAGACTGAGGCCTTAAAAAAAAATGTTGATCCAGTGCAATATTAGCCATGTTAAGCAGTTTCCTCTGAATCCCTGACTACGCACTGCTGTCAAGTTAATAATAATAATAGACATTTGCATGCAATGGGCACAAACATTACACTCATCCTAAACCAATCAGGATGGAACAAGCTCTAGTGGTTTATTGCCAACAGGGAAATAAATACACTTGTATTTTTCTACAAGCAGGTTAGAAAGTTAGACGTTTCTGCTATAGCCATGCTGCGCGACATCATCATGTCAAAGGATGCAAGAGCCTTAGGTAAGTTATATGTTATGCTAGTTAACTGCCAGTTTGCATAGTCAATCAACTGACCTCATTAATGGTTTGTATCATAAAATATTAAATTACTTGTCAACGATTATTAGGCTCTGGTATAACCCTGGTATGTAGACCTGCTGACAGAGGGTTAAAGTGTTAGCGTCCTGCTAAATGGAATGTCACTATGTGCTCAGGTGAGGTGTGTGTTTGTGGTTGTGTGTGTTCTAGCCCCCCTGCCGCCAGCGCTGTTCCCTGCCAATGACTAAACCACTTGCATGAAGAAACAACAGCGACATGCTTTCACGTCGGTCGGCGAGCCAGACCGGCCTCGGGGAGGGAGGGGGGCTTAACGCAGGAGGAGGCGGTGCGCCAAAGCCTAGTATGCTGACAAACAACAGGAAGTGCTAATGAAATGTACTGTGTGTGTGTGTGTGTGTGTGTGAGAGAGAGAGACAGAGAGAGAGAGAGAGAGAGAGAGACAGAGGGAGAGAGATAAGAGAGATACCAGAGAGAGACAGAGAGAGAGACAGAGAGAGAGAGAGAGAGAGAGAGAGAGACAGAGAGTGGGAGAGAGAGAGA